TAGTGACATCTGAAAGTGACATGAAAAATGGTAGTGACAAATCATAGTGTCACAAAAAACTACAATGACATGAAAAATGTGGTCGGGGGGCGCTGGTGGTGTAACACTTGAGATTTAATTTAAATGGATTAATAGTACTACTCATACCAACAAGGTGCATCTCCTTTTAAGGGAGCTCATTAGCTAAGAACTCCAAAGTTAAGCGTGCTTTCACGGGAGTAGTTTTGGGATGGGTGACCTCCTGTGAAGTTTCTCAGGGCGCGCACGAGTGAGGACAAAGTGCGCGGAAAAGGCCAATGGCGGTTTGTGAGAATAGTACTAGAGATCAGAAGTAACTACCCCGGGGTCTACGGGGCTGGGGTGTTACAAATGGTATCAAAGCCAAGTTTTGAACCCGCTACCTCAGGGTCTCCAAATTACTCTCGTAACCGCTGCACTGCTATGCATTGTTTGTACTTGATATATTGGTTTGTTATTATGGAATTTTGATATTAGTTATTGTATATATTTTTGGGAGATTTCTAATAGTGAACATTTTGATGTCATTTTGACTAATTTGGAGTTTGAGGAATTTTTGTTATATCTTATTTTTGAAACATATGAACTTTTGGTTGAATTTTGATGAATTGGTTGATTTATTGGTCTGTTATTATTATGAGTTATCGTATACGATTTTGGGAGATTTTTGTAATAATAAGTATTTGTTATCATTGTTGGAGTTTGATGAAATGGAGATTTAAGCAGAAGTATGAACATTGATTGATTTTTAGAAAACAAAGAAAAATAAACATTTTCATAAAAGGTGAGCATCATGGGAGAAATCCGTGGTGTCGGTTTTCCACATCCGGATAAATGTGGAGGGTGGTTAGGTCTACTACTACTCAAAGAAGAATTAACATTTTTATAAATGGTATCAAAGCCAAGTTTTGAACCCGCTACCTCAGGGTCTCCAAATCACTCCCGTAACCGCTGCACTGCTATGCATTGTTTGTACTTGATATATTGGTTTGTTATTATGGAATTTTGATATTAGTTATTGTATATGATTTTTGGGAGATTTCTAATAGTGAACATTTTGATGTCATTTTGACTAATTTGGAGTTTGAGGAATTGTTGTTATATCTTATTTTTGAAACATATGAACTTTTGGTTGATTTTTGATGAATTGGTTGATTTATTGGTTTGTTATTATCATGAGTTATCGTATACGATTTTGGGAGATTTTTGTAATAATAAGTATTTTGTTATCATTGTTGGAGTTTGATGAAATGGAGATTTAAACAGAAGTATGAACATTGATTGATTTTTAGAAAACAAAGAAAAATAAACATTTTCATAAAAGGTGAGCATCACAGGAGAAATCTGTGGTGTCGGTTTTCCACATCCGGATAAATGTGGAGGGTGGTTAGGTCTACTACTACTCGAAGAAGAATTAACATTTTTATAAAAGGTGAGCACCACAGGTGAAAACCGTGGTGTCGGTTTTCCACATCCGGATAAATGTGGAGGGTCGATAGAAAACACTCAGACTTTTGAGTAGTAATGGTAGTAGTATTTCCTAATCATTCAAATATTTAGGTGGGGTACTTGGTAGAAAACATCACGGCTACCCGAATCGACTTACTAACCCGGAGGGCTTGGAATCCCTTTAGGGGATGTGCACACTTAAGGTAGAAGTTCAGTTTCCAATGGGTGGTGTGGGTGGGGTCCGGGTCTATCGGGCGGTTCATAGGTGACCTTAGTAGCTTGTGCAACCATCCGGGACACCTGAGGTGATGCGTGGTAGTTGGTGACCACTTATTCGCTTGGTTCGGGTTCTCTTTTTGGGAGCTCCCCCATCCTTAAAAGAATCTAGAAACAATTATGGGATATGAGTTTTGGTGGATGAGTATTAAGTATGATTTTGAAAAGAATCTGGATTTGAACAAAGATATCTTTCTTACTTAAAATGATTTTGGTGGATTGTTATTGAATGAATTTTTGTGGTGGGTCGGTAGTCACCCCGATAACCTTGAGGTTTAACTATATATTTTTGGGAAGTTCCATTTCTGGAAAGTTACATTTTGGAAGGTTAAACACTCTTGGAAAATTATTTTGTTTATAGTTGTATTTTTAAAGACTTATATTCTTGGGAAGTTGTATCTTTGGAAAATTATATTCTTGGTGTGATATATTCTTGGAAATGTATTTTTGGAAAATTATTCTTTTGAAAGGTGATATTTTGGAATGTGATTTGTGGAACGTGAAACTTTGGAATGTATTACTTTGGAATGTGGTATTGTGATATTGCTATTTTACTTCTATGCGGAGACGTGATTAGTTGTAATTACTTAAATCTTCTAATTGCTATTTTAACTAAAAATGTTATTTTTGGGTAGAGATATTTTGGTCTTACATGGAGAGGTGAATTATTTAAAATTTAGATTTATTACTTTAACTGCAAAAGAATTTTCGAGTGGTGCAGATTATTTTGGAACTATAAATGTTAAACGAAATATGTCACTATTTTGATGATTTAGAACAAGAAGGAAAAGAGTTTTTGAGAAATTCAAAGAGAAGAGTTACTATGATATTTTTGAAGAAAAGTTGAGAACTTTAGTGAAGAGGTGATTTTGAGGTAATCAAAGAAGAAAAGAATTTTGGTGGTGTGAGTTCTTTTTATATAGTATTATATGAAAAACTATTTTCTCCAAACGTGATTATTTTACGGGGTTGAGTGGGCCTTACTTAGCTAAAAAGCTAATTTTTGATTCTTTTTCTTTATTTTGTTCTCTGCACTTTAATGGTGCAGGTGACGAAGGTTATGCATGATAATGAGAGCCTCGTTAGATGACGTAATTTAGAATTTATAATCACCTAGTTATTGTTTATTTCAGTTTGAGAACATGTAGACATTTAAATTATTTTTGAAATTTTCAGTACTTAAATACTTGGATTATTTTTGGATGGTGGTTTAGCCTGTGCATTCGGTTATGTGAGAACCGAGTGTAGCGGTAACACCCATTGAATATTATGCTTCCGCTTCAATTTAAACTCTTCTGAATTAAATATTTTGGGAAATTCTTTCTAAACATGATATAATTAGCACCAATTTCAGGTATAAATTTGGGGTGTTACAGGTGGTGATGTACAGTTTCGCTGAAAAAGGTTGCTGGAAAATTTTCCGCCGATCATAGTGACCATAAAAAGTGACATAAAAACCAATAGTGACACACAATAGTGACATAAAATATCAGACGGTGACATAAAAAACATTGACATCATGTTTTTCCATATATGTGATCTTCTTGGTCACATTTTTGTCCTTTTCAAAAAATGGTCACTTTTTGGGAAATCAGCCTCAATTAGGTAATATCCAAGGAAAAAGCCCTTAAGTTTATTTATTAAAAATAGAGTTGAAAATATGAAATAGGTGTAGAAATTATAAATTGATAAAATTACTCAATATTGTACACATGTAAATTCAATTTAATATAAATACATAATGTATGGTGTTTTCAAAAAAGTTACCTTTGTGTCCTTGGTGTTTACACCAATGATTTCTCGTTCGCATGGATAGTTTTTTTTTTTTGGACCGGGTAGGCAAATCACATAAGTCGGTGGGACAAATGTCGGGTAACATTTGCCGTGTTTTATTAGAAAAAATGAAATACAAAATAGAGAGGGAGACTATTCCAAAATCTCTCAAGAGGAGGCATACCTCCTCAAAATACAGAAGTAACAACGAAAAAAAATGTACAAAACTCATCCAAAAAGAATACACAGTCAACAAGGCATACTCTTGTCCAAGGGGCATTCTTCGGTCCAAAAGTCCAAAACCAAAATCCAAAAAATCAAATGAAACCTAATCCATACATATTAAGATTGTGTTTCCATCCTAAAAAGTCATTATGATAGGAGGAGGAGCTCATATCATATACAATGTTTAATTGTTTCAGATATATTCGATGTGGGACAACAACAATACCGTATGGAATCAAGCTTATATGTATAGCTGATACGTATAGGATCAAGCTTATATGTATAGATAAGATCACGATTAATGAAATAATCAATAGTTGTGGAACAATACGAAAAAGAAAAGAAATTAGAAAAAATATGAGTGCCGCACTACCGTCCTCACTATAGACTTACGCTATGAGGCTAACCGCAACTCAGTCCGTCAATAAATCTAATCTAACACCAGTTTATATGTATTCCCTCAGTCAATCCTGTTTTCCCTTGCAACCCAACACCGTCAATATATTCACTCAACACATTCTTTTTTAGTTAAATCCTTACTTTTATTATTATACATATTTTTTTCGCAAATTATATTTTTGAAAATAATTATGATTTAATATATCAAACATTTCGATGTAAAAATAAATAAATTTGGAGTGAATTTTTTTAACTAATTTGTTTAATGTTAAAATATCAAACTAATTTTTGTAACTGTATATATCCATGACTGGTGTCATAGGAAAGATTATAAAAAGTTATGAATTTTAATATATTTTTTATAAAAGTTTGATCTTTAATAAAAAAATTATATCATTTTAAAGAAATTTGGGATTTTGAGTTTTATGAAGCCCACTTCTTTTTCTTTGGTGTCACACCAAGTGTAACTTTTTCTCTCTCCAAGAGTGGATCGAGCATCCAAATTCCCACCCCAAGTATTCCACTAGTACCAACGCATCGTGAGAGTTTAGTATACTTGAGTTACACATCACTTTGGGGTGAAAAAGCTCAAATTTGGGGACTACCGTTCACATTTCCCCAACTTTACTGCGCCCCAGTCAAAGTCAGCACCCAAGAATCAATTATGTCTTGCCCAAATAACCCCTGACAAAGAATCTATTTTCGGTCCTCGTCCCTGACTAATTAACAAACGAGATGACCAGATTACCCAGGCCGAGCTCCGACTCCTTCGAAGCCGACCAGGGTTGTTCCCGTCATTCCGTATTTCAACCATTGCAACTTGAAAACTGAGACCGATATTTCATCTTACTACTCTTCATGTGAGAAAAGAGATCACAGCAAAACTCCTCCAACCATGTCGTTCAATCCAACCCATATGATGGACCAACAAACGGCGGCGGAGCGGGCGGTTTCCGTTATCGGCTTCGGGTACGACTTGACCACCGATATCCGGCTGTCAGCCTGCAAGCCCGGGCCTTCGGGCTCCGGACTGATCGAAATTCAACGGAGCTCCACCAAGGACTTGGTCCTGCCCGGCGGCGTTGTTGTTCCCAACGTCTCCACCTCCATCAAGTGCGACAAGGGTGAACGCACTCGGTTTCGCTCTGATGCTCTCTCCTTTAGCCAGGTAGTTCTTCGGAGATTTTTTTCCTTTTAAATGATTTTTTCCTTTTTTGAACTCGTCTACTACCGTGATGAACAATGAGCTTCTCGATCTTGTTCGTTTGAAGTTCGATTGCTGCTATTTCTTATATTATGATTTGCGAAGTGCAATTTAGACATTTTTTGTTTCCAATTTGTTGCTGAAACTTGCTGTGCAGCCTGTGTGTTTGGTTTTAAAAGAGGAATTCAGATTACATATACTTGGATTATTCAATTCGATATGGTCATAATCTAACGTAAGCCAAAGTGTTCTGTTAAACTCAAAACTTTCAGTTGTTTTGAAGTCTTAATTACGTTACGTTACCGCCTGGACTACTAGTGGAATAATCCCTCGTCTGAGAGATTCTCATCAAGTAGGACATCCACTGACGAGGCTTTGGGTGGGGAGGTGCGTGGAGTAGAGTGTCATTCTGCCTTACGTGTGGCACGGAAAATTGGATTACAGAAAGGGTTAAAAAAAGCTCTGGTGAAGAAAATCCCTAAGCCACTGTGGCTTGTCAAACTGGGTCTGATACTACTCTGAGGTGGAACCTCAAGTCAGTAGGTTTTTCTATCATGTCCTGCTGGTAGCAGTTCAAACTGGTTTTCTTTGTTTTCATTTTTGCGAAGTACAACCATTAGTCTTGTTAATGATGTCTTTCAGATTGTATCCTGGTTGGGGATCCAGGTAATGTCTGTTAGGACTTAGGACCACATCTCACATCTCCATTTCTACGTGTGATATAAAAAGGCCTGTTTGGCTGCCTTTATTTTGTACTCTTGATTTATGTTTTATTGTTTTAATGAATTAACTATGTTCCCTCTTGTAAATAACTACCCTCTATACTTTTGAAGTGTCATTTTACGTTTTTGCATTCACTAAAATGACTAGAATACTCCTACAGAATGGTGGACCACTTTTCCTTAAATTATTCACACATTTTCCTTTTGATTTTTGATGAAAGCATTATTTGGTTGATATTATTTTTTCTCCACTCCATAAATGTCAATCACATAGTTTTCACTTCCTTAATCACCTTACATGGTCAAATTGTTGTTACTTTCGCGATATAGGGAGTACGTCTTCGTAAATTGTAATTACTAAACTCATACTTTGTTTTAGAGTTGAACTCGCTAATAAAATGGAATAAGCATATGAATCCCTCGTTATTTTCGGTTACATGTGTAATAGGAGTTGTATACTAGCATAGTAGCATCTATAGGATTATGGAACATCGTTTCAAATCCGTAAAGATTCCTATTGGTTGGGGTAGCAAACTGATCATATGCTGCTTCATACTGCATTTGCATTGGTAAATTGTGGTATTCAGCATATTACACGGAGTAGTTTGTTAACATTGGATTACAAGTTTACAACTTAAAACAACTTAATGATGAATTTGCAATTTTCTGAACAAAGTAATGAGCGTATACATGTGGCATGTTTCCTTTCCTTTAACCTGTTGGAAATTGTCTTTAGCTACTTTATCCCTTTTCTTCTTTTCTTCTATCCTTCAACTTAGAGACTTCATCTTGGTAGAGTTGGACTCTTATAGTTGACTAGTTGGTCTCAAAGTTCTGGTAAATCTTATCTTTCAGGAAATCTGAGAATTGTTTCATTCCCCTTGGTTTCAGATGTCAGAACAATTCAATCAGGAACTGTCTTTATCTGGTAAAATACCTTCTGGTCTATTCAATGCAATGTTTGGCCTCAAGGGGTGCTGGCAAAAGGATGCTGCTAGCACAAAACTTCTTGCTTTTGATGGTTGGTTCATTTCCTTGTATAATGTTGAGTTGGTGAGGAGCCAAGTAACTCTATCTGAGCAATTGAAAAGAGAAGTTCCTTCTTCATGGGATCCAGCTGGCCTTACTGAGTAAGATGATTTATAACAGTTGTGATACCAGAACCTATAATGTTCTTAGTAAGAAGCTCATTTTGTAGATTAGAATCACTTTTTAAATTGTAGATTCCACCTTTTATTTTGTCAGGCATTTGCTATATATTATTCACTTGTATTGTGGAAGTGTTTGGTTTTTGGAATGGCAATCTTTTAGGATACTTTTTTTAAAAGTTTTCTCATTGATCAAGAACGTCACAAAAAAAGGAAAAATAAATTATATTTCCATATGCTTGCACTTATAGCTTTCTTTTGGGATTAAGGCTTGGTTGTTGTTGTTGTTGTATGCTTGCACTTATAGCTAGTTATGATTCACTGTTTATCGATTTACTTAGGTGCAAATTTAGAAATGAAAAATGATTGTAAACTAAAACAGTTTAGAAATGTTTGAATTCCTTATACTTGTCAATTTTTCCCTTTACGACAAATATGACCTGCAAATAACCATCTCACTGCTTCAAGTATCTCTTAGTTGCTGGAAGCCTGGAACTTGTTGCTTATGAAACTAATCGCACTAGTATCCAGATTCATTGAAAAGTATGGGACCCATATCATTATCGGTGTAAAGATGGGAGGAAAGGATGTAGTTCACATAAAGCAGCTTCACAACTCAAACCTTGAGCCTGCAGAAGTGCAGAAGTTGTTAAAACAGTTGGCTGATGAAAGATTTTCAGATGACGTAAATGGAAACACGATATCAAACCCTAACAAGTCTACAGAAAGGCATAAGGTAAACCTTACCTTAGACACCGTGACACCAATGATTCACTGTTTACGTTCATATCCTTTTGAGGTCACATGGAAATAAAAAAGTCTACTGGAAAACTAGATTGCATCACGTTCTTGTATCTTATGAAGAAGAGAAGGCTGAGTATTTGTTTTGCAGAATAGAGCATCTGGGAACACTTGATAAAGAACTCTTTAGTGCGTATGAATTTACCTAAGGCACCCTAAACTGATTGATTTTCATTATCTGCTCTCAGGATCGAACATCTATGCTTTGGGATTCCGGTTTACCAGTTGCAAGTTCAATAAGACCCACTATTCTGTCACACTCAAAGAATGATGTAAGCCTTTAAACTTGCACATCCTCTTGTTTATGAACCAATTTGTGCTACTCTTTAAAAAACCAGATTCTGCAAGGTAAGAGAGTGTATTTTCTTGCAGGACATAATAAGCATTCATAACCGTCGGGGAGGTATTGACTATGACCAAAGTCATAGTCAATGGCTGCTTACAGTATCACAGAACCCTAATGTTATTTCAATGTCCTTTGTGCCTATTGCTTCATTATTAAGTGGTGTTCGTGGCAGTGGATTCTTAGGTCATGCAATTAACTTATACCTGCGCTGTGAGTACTGTTATCTTCTATGTAGTTACCATATCTATTTGTTTTCCATAGTCCATATGTATGAAGACCACCATGACTGTTGCATGTGAGACATGTTCTAATTTTGGCTGAAATGTATTTTTGTTTGTCATTCATCTCTATGGACTACGGTTTACTGCATTTCATTTTAGTCCCTCTCTATCAACCAGTGTTTGGGAAAACTTAAAAATAAACTGTTGTAACTGTCGCATAAAACGCATAAAACGCAAGTGCTGACTTTTAGCGTAACTCTTTAAAAGGTTTACATATGTTTTTCGTCTGAACTTATACTAACAGTTGCATCTTTATGAGTGGAATTATAGTTACACTGTATTTCATTTCATTTTCATTTACCCCAGTGTCGCAAAGGTTCCCACCTACGGTGGGGTAAGGGGGGGTCGGATGTACGCAGTCTTACCCTTGTACTAAAGCATAGAGAGACTGTTTCCGGATGACCCATAGTGAAAATCGTGTCCAAAATTGCATGGACTGACCGTTGCTTCATAACAAAGGACAGACAGTTTAGTGAGCCATTTTGCTTTACACTGTATTTAATATTTTAAATTAACGCAGACAAACCACCAATCGAAGAACTTCAACAATTTCTGGAATTTCAGTTACCTCGGCAGTGGGCACCAGCATATGGTGATCTTCCTCTTGGTCACCACCACAGGAAACAGAGTTCTCCATCTTTGCAGTTCACTTTTATGGGTCCAAAACTATTTGTAAATACTGAGAAGGTGAAATTCTACATATCTAAAAAACAAATTTTCTGCACATTGTTGATTTTGGGACTGCATCTTTTGTCTAGTTGAATGTTTGATAAGGGCCCGTTAGTCTATGCCTTGATATATATTTGAAATTTTTAAAAAATGCAAGATTTGACATGATGTGGGCTCGTATAACATTTTAATCGCCTTTATTGATCTTTAGAAACAATCTCTATATCATAGACTAAGCCCTTCAAGGTCTTCCCCTCCCTGGCTCCATCCAAACATTTGGTTTGAAAGGAGGGATTATGAGGGGAGTGGATGTATTGGTCTGTGTATATACGATAGTATATAGTAAGAGCATCAGGTGAGAATAGCGAAATATGACTTATAGTAACAAAAGTTCAACTTTTATGACAAAACATATAACTTCTTATTGGTCATTTTTGCTGATGAAAAAAAAACGACTAGAAGTTATAGCTTATGTATTAAAAGTTGTATTTTTATTACTATAAGTTATATTTCGAAGGTGAGAAATAAATATTTATAATATTTATTTTTCACGTGAACTTTTTCCTATATGTGTGTGTTTGATTTAATTGTATTGAAATTGTAACACATATGTGATGGTATAGCACTATGATCACCTTTTAATTTGTTTTTTAGAAACATTCTAGTAATCGACATACACACTAAGCTATCTAAAACATATGAAATCTTGCAGGTTGACTCAGGAAACCGGCCTGTCACCGGCCTTCGCTTATACCTTGAAGGCAAAAGGAGTGATCACCTAGCCATACATCTACAGCATTTGTCAACCGTTCCACAAAGTCTGCAACTAATGGACAATCTCACCTACGAGCCTGTTGATGTGAAAACTGAACGGGACTATTTTGAACCCGTAAAGTGGAGCATATTCTCACACATTTGCACGGCTCCGATTGAGTACCACGGGACCGGGAGAGAGGATTTTGCTTCAATAGTGACCAAGGCTTGGTTCGAGGTAAAGGCGGTTGGCATGAAGAAGGTTTTGTTCATGAGGCTCGGGTTCTCTATGGTGGGGTCCGCCCTGATCCGCAGATCGGAGTGGGATGAACCACTGAGTTCGGGTCGGAAGTCAGGTTTGATCTCAATGCTCATCACTACACCTTTCAGCACAACGAAGCTCACACAGCCCGATAAAGCTTTAAAGGTTGATTTGAACTCGGCCGTTTACCCCGGTGGACCTCCCATGCCAGCAAGGCCTCCAAAGATGACACACTTTGTGGATACAAAAGAAATGGTGAGAGGGCCGGAGGAGTCACCGGGGTATTGGGTGGTTAGCGGTGCAAGGCTCTTTGTGGAGGACAGCAGGATAAGAATCAAAGTGAAGTATTCCCTGCTGACCATAACAACGGAGGACTCAATCTTGACATGATAGAAAGGAAAAGTTCATACTTTGTACCTAGCTTGTACATTGCTGTGTGTACTATTATTAGCATATGTGTTTGTTAATGCCGTTGTGGGGATAGATTGATTGGGTGATGGTAGCAAGATGTTCTTTTGTCAAAATCAAGTGTTGTGATAGTTGGTAGTATGTAAAGAATCAGCACAAAGTCAAACTAAGCATTCAATTGCGGAGCGAGGCCTATTATGGTAGCTCCAGTTCAGAGAAAAGAAAAGACTAGGGTTTTCTTTTTTGTAAGGTTTTTGTTATTTCAATTTTGCTATAGGTACTCCAAAGTCCAAACCCTAACCAATTGTACCCCTTATATCTTGCTGTACTTACGCTAAAAACCCACCCCCCTTTTCTTATACCCCCAATTTTGTTATAAAAACCCACCCCCCTTTTCTTCTCCCCCTTCCTCTCTCCTGCATCCCACCTCTCTTCCTCCCTCCCTCTCCTCTTTTCACGCACCCCCTCCCTTCCCCTTTCTTCTCCATCTCAAAATCTTTCCCATTTTTACCATTTTTCCCTCTTCCAACCTTAAATCTTCTCCTGCTTATCTCCACTTCCACTGGTGACGTTGCTGACGGCGGCGAGTCTACGCCGGTTGCCGACGGCGGATCTACACCGGTTGCCGATGGTGGGCCTACGTTGGTTGCTATTTCGGATGCAACCTCAAGGGAAGACAACGATGAAGGCAAACCAAGAAGATTTGAACAACTTGAGCAGCAAATCTTCTTTTCTTGATTTTGTTTTCTTCATTTTTGATGTATTTTCGAAATATAAAGGGTTGTCTGTCAGACAGACAACTTGTAAGTGCAGTGTCTGTAAGAGTCATGAAATTGTCTGTCATTTGAAAAATAAATGTATGTAATTGATATTTAATTGTTTGTCATTTATTTGTTAGTTGTCTATAACTCATACTTAGTTGTTTGTTATTTCATTGTGAGTTGTATGTAATTTGTGGTGAAAATAATGTCTGTCTCGTTATCTCTATTGTCTGTAGGGTTGGACTCGGGCCGGGTGGCCCGACCCGGAACCGGCCCGGGACCGGTACTGTTCCGGACCGGCCCGAACCGGTGGCCCGGTCAGTGACCGGTCCGGGTAGGCCCGGTCAGTGACCGGTCCGGGTAGGCCCGACCCGGTGGGTTTCCGGTCCGGGCTCGGGTCACCCATAACAAGGCCCGGCCCGGCCGGGCCAAATTTATTTTTTTTGGTTTTTTTTCATTTGTTTGGGCTCCACCGGGTTGAGCTTGATGTTTAGGAGGGGTTTGGGGGGTTTGGGGGGTGGGGGTGAGGGGGGGGTCAGGGATGGGTAGCTAAGCAAAATAAAATAAAATAACCAAACCCGAGGCCCGGCCCGGCCCGACCCGGACCCGGACCCGGTGGCTACCCGGGCCGGTCCCGGGTCCAGCTATATAGAACCGTCGGTCCGATCGGGCCTAGGCCCAGTCCGGGCCCGACCCGGCCCGAGTCCAACCATAATTGTTTGTCTAGTTATACGTATTGTCTGTCTTCTTTATGAAACATATTCCAAAATGGTAATTCACAATAAAGTAATGTCTGTATGTGTATACTTATTGTCTGGATGTGTATATTTAATGTCTGTCTCGTTTACTAATTACATCTCAAAAAATAAACATCACAAAATACAGACAACTCACAATCAAATACAGACAACTCAAAACAAATACAGACAACTCAAAACAAATATAGATAATTAACCATCAATTACAGACAGACAGATAACTTCACGACTCTTACAGACTTCTCACAACAACATGACAGACAACTCGAAACAAATACAGACAACTCAAAACAAATACAGATAACTAACGATCAAATGACAGACAACTTCACGAGTCTTACTAACAAACACAGACACTGCACTTACAGTTGTCTGTCAGACAGACAACCTTTTTTTTCGAAAACACACCAAAAATCAAGAAAAATATCAAGAAAAGTAGATCTTCTCAAGTCATTCATAGCTTCTTGGTCCGCACTTTCATCGTTGCCTCTCCATGTCAAGCTAACCATGTTGGAATAAATCCATGAATACTTTAATCTTCATATTGAAATTATCTAGAGAATTAACTGAGCGGAAGCGTACCTGACTCCATGGGAGATGGCCTTTAGAGATCCGGGAGACGGAGGCTAGGGTTTGTGTCTTCTAGTTGATACACACCCTCGGAAATTATCTCTCTAGCGATGGGATGCAGAAAGACGGAATGGCGTGTTCAACTAGGGACCATAACCCCTTATTTATAGAGAGTGCTTAACCCTAATCAGCCCATCATTGATTAGGTCAAGCCCATGGGTCTCTACACATTTGGGCCATATACCTTATTAGATAACTTATTAGCCCACTTAAATTAATATCCATAGGACCACTAATTTTTGGGCCTAAATATAAGATAACATACAACATACAATTAAACCCGATAAATAATATATTGTGAATATTACATGTAGTATAAGTCCAATAATCTAACAATCTCCCACTTGGACGACATACACATGAATACACACAATCCTTAGCATTGTATGTTTACTTTAGGAGCTCCAAAATTTTGCTATCAAACTGTAGTCATCCTTAATCAATCCGGTCCATTAATTATATCCACATAGGACCAAAGAAGTCTTTGTTATATTTGAATAACTAGACCCATCAATGATCACGTATATTAATATAATAAACGACATGGATCAAGTATAGGTGTGTAGCGTGGAAATAACATAAAGTGTGGTGTGGAATAGAATGTCTATTTCCAACTGGTCCACCTTGAGATCAATAATATAACTATAAGAGTACAATAAAACTTTAAACTTTATTTCTACAGAAAATAACATTAAAGTTGAGTTAACCAAATATAGAAACATTACAAACTCCCACTAAAACTCATAATCCTCAACTGATTTGACACACATTTGAGCAACATGCTCATGAAACACTTTGGGTGGTAATCCTTTAGTGAGCGGATCCGCAATCATGGAGTTTGTGCTGATGTGTTCTATAGACAACTTTCCTTCTTGTACTCATTCTTTAACAGCTTTAAATTTGACCCCAATGTGTTTTGCCTTGGTCAAACTACTGTTGTTCTTAGCATAAAGGACTGCTGACCTATTGTCACACAATAGCTTAAGTGGTCTTTCAATGCTGTCCACTATGCGCAGTCCACTAACAAAATCTCGCAGCCATAATGCATGATTGGATGCCTCATAACATGCTATAAACTCTGCTTCCATGGTGGAAGTAGTTGTAAGAGTCTGCTTGATACTCCTCCAGGAGATAGCTCCTCGAGCTAGAATATAGATGTAGCCTGAAGTGGATCTCAAGCTATCTTGACATCCAGCAAAATCAGAGTCGGTATACCCAATGACCTCAAGCTGATCCGATCTCCGATGTGTGAGCATATATTCCTTTGTTCTCTGTAAATACCGCATGACCCTTTTGGCTGCTTTCCAATGGTGCATTCCCGGATTGCTCAAATATCTGCCTAACATCCCAACAATGTATGCCAAATCAGGTCTTGTACAAACCTGGGCATACATCAAACTTCCTACAGCCGAAGCATAAGGAATGTTCCTCATTTCTTTAGATTCAAAACCATTCTTAGGGCACTGCATGAGACTAAACTTGTCTCCTTTGGAAACTGGGGTATCTCCTGGTTTGCAGTCTTGCATACCAAACCTTTTGAGAATCTTATCGATATAACTCTTTTGTGAGAGTCCAAGAACGCCTTTGGAGCGATCTCGGTGAATTTGAATTCCTAATACAAAAGAAGCCTCACCAAGATCTTTCATTTCAAAATTCTTTGAAAGAAATCTCTTAGTTTCGTGCAATAAGCCTATATCATTACTAGCAAGCAGTATGTCATCAACATACAAGACCAGGAAAATATGCTTACTCCCACTGAACTTGTGGTATATACAATCATCACTGACATTTGGTTGAAAACCAAAAGATATAATGACTTTATGAAACTTGTGATACCACTGACGAGAAGCCCGTTTGAGTCCATAGATGGATTTCTTTAATTTGCAAACCATTTTCTTTGAATCTCCCGAAACAAAGTTTTCTGGTTGCTCCATATAGATTGATTCCTCAATGTCACCATTGAGAAATGCAGTTTTTACATCCATATGATGAAGCTCAAGATCAAAATGTGCCACTAATGTCATTATTGTTCTAAAAGAGTCTTTCGAGGATACCGGAGAGAAAGTCTCTTTATAGTCAATTCCTTTCTTTTGAATGTATCCTTTAGCAACAAGACGAGCTTTAAACCTTGTAACATTGCCCTTTGAATCCCTCTTGATTTTAAATATCCATTTACAATCAATGGGTTTAATACATTCAGGCAATGAGACTAACTCCCAAACGTCATTGTCACTCATAGACTTCATCTCATCTTTCATGGCATTAATCCATTCTTGAGAGTTGGAACTTTCCATGGCTTGACGGAAGTTGATTGGATCATCTTCCGCAAAACCAACATCCGATTCTTGTTCTTGGAGGAAGACAATTATTTCTTCCACCAATTCCCAATTTTCCTCATGTTCTTGAAGAAATACAATATAATCATCCGGAATTGCGCTTCTCCTCTTTCGAGTGGATCTCCTTAATGGCACCTCAGGTTCTTGAGGTTGTTGAGTTTGATCCTCATTAATAAATTCAGGTACTTGATTGGGGATGTTTTCGAGATTGTCATGAACTGAAGTTGTTTCTTGAACATCATTAGGAATAAACATATCTTGATCATGTTCAATGACAACTGAAGGAAGAGTAACATGTTCTTCCTCAAAGACAAAATCTCTAACCTTATCTCCCCACCCCCAAACTCAATATCCTCAAAGAACCGGGCATTACCCGTCTCAAAAATAGTCCTGGTAGTGGGATCATAAAATTTATACCCCCTTGACCTCTCAGAGTATCCTACAAAATAGCTACTAACTGTTCTTGAGTCCAGTTTCTTTTCATTTGGCCTATAAGGCCTTGCCTCAGCTGGACAACCCCAAACATGGAAATGATTTATACTGGGTTTCTTTCCAGTCCAAATTTCATAAGGGGTTTTAGTTGTAGCTTTAGTGGGAACTCTGTTAAGTATGTAAGCTGCAGTTTTCAGTGCCTCTCCCCAGAGGGAATCTGGTAAAGTAGTATGACAAATCATACTCCTAACCATGTCCTTCAATGTACGGTTTCGTCTCTCAGCAACACCATTCATGCTAGGAGTTCCTGGCATGGTGTATTGAGGAACAATTCCACACTCCTCTAGGAATTTAGCAAAGGGCCCTGGACGTTGTTCACCGGAACCATCATATCTACCATAGTATTCACCACCACGGTCAGATCTAACGGTTTTTATTCTTTTGCCTAATTGGTTTTCAACTTCGGCCTTATAAGATTTGAACACGTCTATTGATTTGGACTTTTCATGAATGAGATAAAGGTAACCATAACGAGAGTAATCATCTATGAATGTGATAAAATATGTTTGGCCATTTCTACATGGTGTAGGGAATGGTCCACAAATGTCTGTATATATCAATTCCAATAGATCTGAAGCTCTCTCGGCACCTAATCTCCGTTTGTTCGTTTGTTTTCCCTTAACGTACTCAACACAAATATCAGAATTTGAGGAGTCAAGAGAATCAAGAATTCCATCTGACACAAGTCTCTGAATTCTTTCTTTAGAAATATGTCCTAGACGCTTGTGCCAAAGTGAAAACGAATTCTCATTGGTTAATTTTCTTTTAGTACCACGAGTACTTACATGCAAGGTTTCATTATATGAGGTATTTATATCAAGTGAATATAGATTATCATAAACTGATAAAAGACCAGTACCAATAAGTTTTGAATCTTGAAATAGACTGAACTGACTATTTCCAAATGAACAAGAATAACCAAATTTGTCTAATGCAAAAATAGAAATTAAATTCCGCCTAAATGACGGCACAACAAATGTCTCTTTCAAATCCAAATAAAAATCAGTCTTTAATAATAATCTAAAAACACCGATAGCCTCAACTTCAACCCGCTTGCCATCACCGACATAGATGTATCTTTCACCATCAATTGGTTTTCGGCAGCTCAGGCAACCCTGCATAGATACACTTATGTGAGTAGTAGCACCAGAATCTACCCACCAAGTGTCTTTTGGTACCGAAATTAAATTAACCTCAGAACAAACAAGAGCAAGAGACATACCCTTTTTCGCACGCCAAGCATGGTACTTAGTGCAGTTCTTTTTCTTGTGATTAGTCCCTCTGCAAAAGAAGCATCCAGATTCCTTAGTTTCTTCCTTAGTTTCCTTGTGATGCTTCCTGGGAGGTCCCGAATTTGCAGCTTCCTTAATTTTCCTTTTATTGCTGCCCTTAGAGGTAGATGCCAAATGAGCACTTTCTGTCTTATCTTGCTTTATTCTCTCTTCCTCTTGAACACAATGAGAAATGAGCTCATTGAGAGACCATTTCTCCTTAATGCAGTTGTAACTGACTTTAAATTGATTAAATTGAGAAGGAAGAGAGATCAAAACTAAATACACAAGCAATTCCTCAGGTAAAATAAGCTTTAGTGCACTTAGTTTTGAAGCAATGTGAGACATTTCCAAAATGTACTCCCTTATGTTCCCTTTGCCTTTATACTTCATGGAAACAAGAGTGCTCAAAAGAGTACTAGTTTCCGCCTTTTCGTTTTTAGCAAAACGCTTTTCAAGTTCGGTAAGGAACGATTTGGCATCAGCCTCATCAGACATTGTGCCCCTGAATGATTTTGGAATTGCACGTTTCATGATCATTAGACTCATGCGATTTGAGCGTTCCCACCTCTCCATCTCCCTCTTTTCATCAAGGGTAGATGTGTCCTTAAGAGCGGCGGGTTTCTCAGTCCGAAGTGCAAGGTCTAGATCCATGCAACCGAGAACAATCATAACGTTCTCTTTCCATTCCTTAAAATTCGTGCCGTTAAGCACTGGGATGCTATTAATATTAGCAGATATTATAGCAGCAGAATTGTTGACTGAAAGAGAACAAAAATAATATAAATGATATGCTCTAGGAACTGAAATTAATTTTTAAATTTAAATATTAGCAATCCCCATCACAAGATACCTAGCGCAACATCTAATCTTTTATCTTTGGACATAAATTAGACTTGCAAGTGGTACTCTTGGTGTGATAATAAAATTTTGATAATAAAATCATGTCGAATATTAAGCCTTTCTTTGGACCGACTTAATACTCACACGAAAAACTTCATAATCATCACAAATTTTATTATCACAAATGTACTTAAATTTCGGCCAAATAATAACCTTCCTTTGGGCCGATTATTATCCGCATGAAATAAGAAAGTACACAATCATCTTAATATATGAGTTAATTAATTTCAACAAGAGAGACTACTTTGGCAGCATGTTGTATCAATTAACTAACTCAAATATTAGACATGCTAATATTAACTCGAAAATCTGGAAAATAAAATTGGGCAAATTTTTTCTGAATCACATGCAAATGTATTATGTATAACGATAATTTGTAAAAACTCATACCCAATCGCTGTGCGATCATAAATAGGGTTTGGCACACAATACATATTTTTTCAAGCCACAAATTACAACGACAAAAAAATAATATATTCCGGTAATGCAAAATCATGCATTTTTAATAAAACTGATATTGGCCGTAATTACATATATGTATTTAATTACCAAAACCATAAATAAATCCGAAATTGAATCGCTGAAAAATGAATGCACAACTAATTTCAATGCGACACCCATATATATATATATATATATATATATATATATATATATATTTCGGCTGACTCAAAAAAAAATCTGAAATTAGATCAAGAATAGAAGTCTCTTAAAACCCAACCGAATGAATACGTAGGCTAAATGAACTCCTTAAAGAAAAGGAATTGAAGATCGTGATTTTTTTTTAAATCACCTGGAATTGGCTTAGAGTCACACACAATAGTAGTTCCAAAATAGATTGAATTACTTTTCGAAAACTTAATCGCTAGATTCCAAAACACAAATAAATCAATCAAAATAATACTACGTACAACTGTCACCAATGATTCCATAGTGTTGAACGTAGAGCAAAAGTACATTGTTCATGATAAATATTCAGCATAAGTTCTGGGATATGTAAATCTTACATAATAATGTTGAATCCATGTAGTGGCATTAGATTAAATGACGATTCTAATGTAGTTCCACTTAATAATAATAACAATGATACAATTCTCAGTACCCCAACATGATCGTGCGAATCAGGATTTGCTTAAATGAGGATGAAGCAAAAAATAAAACGAAACCCAAATATGTTGCCGCAAATCTAATCGGCACCGATACAAGAAAATTTCAATTTCCATTTAATCATCAACTGTCGATTCAACAATTAGGAACGAATTGACAGATTAATCGACAAATTATACTGACTCCAAATAATTCAATATGAAGGTGGCTCTGATACCAATTGTTGGAATAAATCCATGAATACTTTAATCTTCATATTGAAATTATCTAGAGAATTAACTGAGCGGAAGCGTACCTGACTCCATGGGAGATGACCTTTAGAGATCCGGGAGATGGAGGCTAGGGTTTGTGTCTTCTAGTTGATACACACCCTCGGGAATTATCTCTCTAGCGATGGGATGCAGAAAGACGGAATGACGTGTTCAACTAGGGACCATAACCCCTTATTTATAGAGAGTGCTTAACCCTAATCAGCCCATCATTGATTAGGTCAAGCCCATGGGTCTCTACACATTTGGGCCCTATACCTTATTAGATAACTTATTAGCCCACTTAAATTAATATCCATAGGACCACTAATTTTTGGGCCTAAATATAAGATAGCATACAACATACAATTAAACCCGATAAATAATATATTGTGAATATTACATGTAGTATAAGTCCAATAATCTAACAAACCAACGTCACCCGGCTCTCCCTTTCGTCCGATCTACTGTAGCTCTTGCATTTGAAACAAAAAAAAAGGAAGAAGAGACGAGAAGCAGGAGAAGAAGCTCGGAAGGAGAAAAGATTGTAAAAGGGGAAGATTTGATGGAGAGAGATGTTGGAATGGGAAAGAAATCAAGATTTGGAGAAAAGAGAAAGAAAGGGGAGAGGATGGAAAAGGGGAGGGGGGCTGCGTATGTAAAAAGAAAAGAGGGAGGAGAGAGGGAGGGAAGGAGAAGAAAAGTGGGGAAGGGGGAGGGTTTTTTATGTGGGGAAGGGGGAGGGTTTGTTGTTATTTTAGTCTCCATTACTTTTACAATATCTCTCACTCATGTGCCACATGGTTTTTTGCTTGCTTTAGTTGACATATTTGACAGTCATGACTTGATTGATAATAAAATAAAGTCGTATGTCAGATGCTATTTTAGCTAAAAATGAGAGGAAATGGCATCTTGATCTTCTGTTTTAGATTATTTCAAAGACTAGTTTGAAAATAATACTCCCGTATGTAGTATATTAAACGCATTTATAAACAATTCAATCTATTAAGTTAGGTTGTCAGCAAAATTAGCACATGCAATCACTTCTAGCTGCTGTCCCATTTCAGAAAAAATATACCATCGCCAAAAGAGGTTGTCCTCTCTACCCCATTGGACATGCTAGTTACAGTTGATAATTTAATATGGTGGAAGCGACAAAAAGCCAACTAGTAAACTGCAATAACATATCTACCTCTACAAAAAAGCATAAGAACAAGAATTTATTTCATCAAAATTTAGAAGTTAGTTATTACCATTTCTACAAGTTGGGAGAAATGAAAAACAATTAAATAAAAATCAATTGGGGTGTCTGCTGGTGTCTTGTGGAGGTGGTGATCCGTTTGGCCACCGTCAACTCTCACTTACTGTAGAAACTGGAAATTCTCACTTGCTATCACCACACCGCGCATGTTTGCAAAAAGACTGCCATATAAAAAGTGTGTTGGTTTGCAAAAAGACTGCCATATAATAAATGAAGGATGTAGAGAATTAGGGAGCTTGGATCTGCTTCTTAAAATTGATTTCCCATTTTCAGGGACATAAGTAGATATTGGATCGTTTGGGGTGAAATTGTAGAAGATCGTTTGGGGTGAAATTGTAGAAGATCGTTTGGGGTGAAATTTTCAACACCCGGCCCCCTAATTATAAATTTCTGGCTCTGCCATTGCCCGTGAGAATAGGGTTAATTGTAACGATCATCTCCTATCTTCATTGGCCAACCTGCATTCTTTTCTGCTTGATATTATGTTGCCCTGAATTTGATTTTACACCACACTTTTTCAGTGATATTGGACTTTGCTCTCCATTTTTAAAAACTTTGACTTTGCATCCCATTTCACTTAAAAATCCTTTGACTTTGCAACACATTTAGAAATTTCCTTTCCAAAATGTTATACGATGTGGGTGCAAAGTCAAAGTTTTTTCAAAATGGGGTGCAAAGTTCAATATCACCCAAAAAGTGGGGTGCAAAGTCAAATTTCCCCATTAATATAGTTAATAATGCTAATAATGTTATGTGTCAATCGTTCCGTTATTGTTTGACGGTTTGGTCCAACGGTTTCAGACCTGTCATAATGATTGGTCAGCTTCAAATTAATTATGACATTCCTTAATTACATTAATGTGTGTATTGATACGTCCTAACAACCATCATTAAGCCTTAAATATACCATTAACTTCTATGATTAATTCCCATAAATGTAGAATCAAACCATCAAATATTCGCTCCAACAATTGTCCTCTTTCGAGAATTTGAGGCGTATGAGTGCATATGTCAAACCATTTGAGCAGCAACTTTTTAAAATTCTTGAAAGAACGTGTACTTTGCATCCTTGATTATTGAGCTTGTCAATCCGTCACTTATCTAACGAAACATGTCTTTCAATCCGACATCCGTCTGACGAAAGGCTTCCTTTATCTTTATTGCAAGTTGTTTCTGATCAAATCCATCACTTTGACTGAGGCGATGAAGAACAATGTACTTTTTCCTCCCAAGTTGTGCTAAAGACTAGGCGCTGGTAAATTATAATTTTGTCCATGTTGATATTGTTGACACTTCAGTTTGGCAAGGGTGACATCATCCCTTGTTGAGCGGGTGACGAGTCTCACTCCATGAGTGTATCTGATGTCCTACAAAAACTTTGAACACTGTTCTGTTTGCATTTTAGCTATATTGTCAATTTAGATGAATGTTTAAGGTTCGTGCCGCTTCTTTTTGTTTTGGAGTTTCTCATTGTTTTGTGTTATGCGTTTGAAACATATCTATTTGTTGTGTATTTTTATGTATAGTTTTGGACAAAGCATTGCATGGAATCATTGGTGTTTACACTCATCTTTATAAGATATGAAAACCCACTTCTTCCTTTGTAAGCCTCGTCATTCATGTTTTGACATTTTTGCTACACTTTTAATTATGTAAGCCTTGTCATTAATGTTTTGATGTTTCTCTAATTCTTTGTTAGATGTGTGTTAGGACATCGTCATTGTCTTTTTGACTATTCATGTGTAAAAACGAAGTTGCCAAGGCCGGCCATTGGCTAGCGGCCCTCCGATGCTTAAGTTAGTGATCTTTTATATGTAAAGTAAAGTAGTAAATTAAGAATGAAACAAGTTTAAATGTACCACACTCCAACTTCTCAGAACCTGTCTGTCGTCTTGAATTTCCAAGCAATATGTTCTCGTCCGACGATTTGAATCATCTCGTCAGTCCATTCTGTCATTGTGTGACGACTTGAATCATCTCCTCGAGGGTTGAATAGGTTTTCTCACATTTGTATTCATGTCTCTTGGAAGAGTCTGATTCTCGTGTCCCCATCATGAAAATTTGAAGAACTTTGTTTGCTTAGAAAGCACTGTTTGTGTTTCTCCTTTGTTGGGCGATAATGTGTCTTGCTTTAAATGTTCTAAATATGACTGCATCCATGATTCGTCTGTAAATAACTCGACGTTTTTGACAGTTCTGACCTTGTCAGCCGTTGGTTTCACCAGATGCACCAACAGGATGTCTCTACTGATTTCCAAGGCTATGCACGACCCTACAACCGCTGGAACATCTGCCTATGTGTTCTCCTCTGTTGGGACATGTTGGATGGTACATTCGTCGAAACAAGTCGTCGGGCTTTTGATAATGTCAAGGTAGAGCGTCATTTTTAGATCCTTTTCCCTCTTGAGGTGAATTCTTTAGGA